TGGACGTTCGTTTGGTGACCGGCTCCAAATTTTCTTTAACCGAGAGTCTCCAGACTGATCTGCGAGTGAAACCTTGAAAGCTCGCGAGATCAGGATGGTCTCACGAGGCTAGCATCCAGCTCAACTCAGACAGAAATGGCAACTCTAGGTAAGGTGAAAAAAAACCTTAAGAACGAGCGCAAGCTAAAAGAACAAGCAGAAGAGGGTTGCGGTTCTGCGTTTTTTTCACCACAGGTAGCAGTATCATTAGAAAACTCTGTAATGCCTCTTCAAGGCATTTCGCAGGTTTTGTGTTCACACCAAACGAGAAATTTCAGCAGTTCCGTTTGCTTTTGCTCGCCTTGATAATCGCCTGGCCAGTGAAAACATTTTGCCCGATGGCCAAAAGACTAGTATATCATGGAGTCTGCTGGTCGTTGGTTTCCCCTCATCATGGCAGACATGGATTTACAAATGGTGTGGCAGTGATTTTTACTTTCGATAGCTGAAAAAGCTGTTGGTGTTCCTTGCTTCACCAGCTTCCCAGAGATGGAACCAGTATGGGTAATATCACCATCTGCTACAGAGCCTAGGTCTGGAGGACGGTTGCTTTCAGCAGTACTTGCCAATCTATGACCGAATTCAGGGCTGTGCCATCCCGCATTGGGGAACAAATCACCAGGACAACAGAGGGTTTGGTGAGACAGCATTATGGTCCCAGACAGAAGAAGCGGGAGATCAGTGCGAGAACACCGGGACCAAGCTTTTAGCGATGTCACCATCTGGAACAATGGAACCACAGTGGGAGATCGGAGGAGCCCCCTTGGATATCAGCCCACTAGAGCGAGGAGAGGAGGAAGAGTGGGAAGTCCGCTGCGGCAGATTGGATACGCCTACAGACTACGGCTACCCAGGGGTAGGATAGTGGTACATCCGAGAAGCCAACCAGGGAAGCAGAGCGAGGATAAGCTCTGGCTGGCCGGAGCTAGTCCCTGACTGGATTGTCTGGCGCAAAATGTAAAGAAAAGTTCACATTTTTTAACTTCATTTGCAGGCGAGGCAGCGATCAAATGTCGGCAACTTTGCCAAAATTGCTCCATTCGCCTCCCTAAATTCACCACTGCCGTCTGGCTCAGCTTCTCTCTGCTTTGCTTCGCTCCAGATCGGCCCTCTACTTCGGGATAACATGGGAATCCTTCGCTCCAGCTGCAAAATTCGTCTTTGGTATGAACCTTAAAACTGGTTGTTGCTACGGTCTCTCTCAGTACTTGTTGATTTGGGTTAAGGTGAATTAATCTAATTAGCAATACGTTTAAAAGTCTGGCTGCATTTCTCACCTTAATGGGACCTTCCCTCATAATCTGACCCAGTTTAGCAATGTTGTCGTACTCCTGTATGGCCGCTCTCAGGTAGCGATCGTCGTCTGGCCTTGCTTGAGGCTCACGACCAAAGGTGCCCTGTAAGGAAATCCACACAAACTCATGAGACATCAAGGAGATATTGATGTTGATTTTTAATGTTCTGAACGTTCTTTTTCCAGGGTTTTCAAACCATACAACTTCTGTGTTTTTATAGTCAAAGATCGGTTCAACAAGTTTGATTTAATGGCTTCTTATAATTTATATATTTAAATTGTTTGGACAGATATCAAATATCCTCCCTTCTTGTAGCTGTCAACATTGTTCTAGCAGATATTTGAGTATTATTTTTGTTGGATTATGTTCAAGATATTTGCATCTATTGGCTTTCAATCACTGATTTTTCAAATGTACAACAGAGTTGATGTCAAGGCCAGCCCATTGTTTTGGAAATGATTTTCTATCAATTTGTCAATTAATTGACGTGTAGGATCAATCAACTGTGTCCAGGTTTCAGCCAATAGAAACAAACCGATGAAAACTGGTCAGACTGCACACAACCAAGATCAACTTGTGTTATTAACTGATACCTGGTTGAACACAATTGTCTCTGTCCACCAGTCTTTACATGCCCCGGGAGTGAGATGGGGCCTTTTAAAAAGAAGAACCTTTAACATTGTCCACACCTTCCTCATTGAGCGAAAATTGGTTGAAAAGGCATTGAAAAGACGACATAATTTACGTCCAAACAACGTCTACAGTCAGTTGACAAGGGAAAGGCGAAAAGCCGTCATTTTTATATTGCTCAAAATACGTTGAAAAATGGGTTTGCAAAACCTTTTAAACATCAATTATTGGACTAAAGTGGGACAAAATCAGACCGAGATAAATAAGATTTGAAGCAGTTCGTCTGGATAAGCCAATGCATTTCGGAGAAAAGGTTAATGATCATTAAAAGTAGGTTTATCTAGTTAAGTATGAGTTGTGAAGTTTTCTAATACCTTCTGTATGAGCTGTTAAGCATGGTGGTGTCTGTATCATGCTGTGGTCCCACATACACACCCCAATGGATAAAGCAGGGTAAGAAATGGAATGGTTCAAAGCTGGACCTGATAAGTACTTTACAGAAAAAAAGCTAGTTTAAATAAATTCTAACATTACGGATAAGAGCAGTGGGAAGATTTCTAACTACAAACATCCAGAAGCTAGTTGATGTCTTGAAGATTCCTTTTCTTGAAACTTGCTAAGGAAGATTTATCCAATAATACTGAGGGTTTAAAGTTGTTTTTGAGCCTGTATGAGAGAAAATGAGTAACTATAGCTCTAGGAAACATTGAGGTTATATGTTGGTAAAGACACCGAACAAGAACAATTCAAATTAATCAATTAAAACAACAAGTGATATTCTTTTTTTTTTTTTGTCGATGCTTGGATATAAATTATTGACCCAAACTACACCTAATGTTAATAAACCGCTGTATAGTAAAGCCTTTAGAGCAGTTAGTACTGACATGAGTGCGTGCCGGGCTGTTCCACAGGTCAGTGATTTCACTCAGGTTCTCAGGCAGGTCGTCCTCGTGATCAGCCTGTGCAGCTAGCTCCAGGTTGCGACAGAATGGGTCCATCCACACTGGGTTGGCTCTGTGGAGGGAAGCAGCACAGGTTCTTCCTTAAATAAGTCGATTACTGTAGTGGTTTGATTTCCAGATGACATCTAGTTGAACAGGGTCATTTTGGGGAATGGAGTTAATCCTTTTACTGCTTGGGTCACTATATTAAATACATAGCTAGCATTAAAAAACAAACAGCAATCTGAGGTTCTAAACTTTCTAAGTGCACAAACTGATCTCATTGATCTGTAAAAGTCATGCATGAAGGATTTGGTTCCAAAGGTAATTCTCGTTAGCCTCGTGAGACCATCCTGATCTCGCGAGCTTTCAAGATTTCACT